AAACTGAAAGCGGGTCTCCTGAAAAGAATGGAAGCTATAATATGTGATGAGCGGACACTAAATACTGAAAAAATATGTATAGCTGTTGAAGCCTCTGCTTAAACGTTAAAATGATGCGGACACTGAAATATGAATAACTTAATTGCTGTTTTGACTAGAAAATAACTTTTGCGTGGTACTGTGTAAGTCTAAGTACCTAAGCAACCTTGTTTTATCTGAGCAGTAAAGTGTGTTTAAGTGTGTAAAAACACCATATAATATTAGAATGAAAAGTAATGAATATAAATGTGGTAAAAATATACAAGACTGAAAAAAAATAAATAAATAAATAAATAAAATAAAAATCTCTTATGAGGTAGTAAAAAGAAAGTTTGGTTCCCGAACTCTCCTTGATGCCCCTAGCAACTGTCACCACAACCAGCACACCTGATTTTAATGTAAAGGATTGATGAGTAAACTAGATATTGCAAGTAAAACTGGGCTGCTAGCAGGAAAGGCTTGTGAACGGTTAAACGAACACATGGACACACAAATCACTACTTAGTGTATTAATGTTATCTGTACAAGTTGTATTGATATATACAGATGAACAGACAGACAGACAGACAGCAAGACAGACGCACACACACCTGCGATTACAGGCGGCAGTGAAAAAGACCCCGAGACAGCTTTGCTCAGGCTTTGTACTTCAGTAATCAACAGATGTACTTACAGGCCTCGGCCCAGGCACCACAGAGAAGCTGAATGGGCAAAAAAGCGTCCACTTTGTACATCTTCGCCTTAATCAAGGCTTTTCTATTCAGCAATTTGACCTTTTGTTCAAAACAGGATTATCACCCCATACTTTTAGTATATTTATTTATTTATTTGTTCCCTCTCCCCAGCCAGTTACCAGGGGCGACCCGTGCGACGAACATAATTGCAATAATTTGTTAAACGCCATGGCAACCCACATTAGAATGGGGGTAAATACGAGGGGGGCCACTCTGTGCTGCACTCTCATTTTGCCGAAGACGCCAGGAGTCAGGGAACGTATGACAAGCAAAGAAGAGCTGGGGGGGGGGAGAAGAGAGAAGCGTGTATTTGCTTTGTCTCCAAAGGGGCTGCTTTATTGATAATGGTGGTGGGCTAAAGGTGGACGTGGCAGTAATTTCGTTGGTGATTAATGCCTTACTGGTGTTCCACAGCTAAACTCAACAAACAGCTCCGACTTCCAATCTGTAACCATGTAAGCCCCTAAGTCCCCCCTCACTCCATTACACAGGCGAGCTTTCTCCCTCCATCTCCGCGAACAAACAGCTCTATTTGAGCTCTCCCCTCAGCTGAAAGGAATCCTTAATTACACAATATTACCCCTCTTCATTGCTACCAGTGTGGGAGGGGATGGCAGGGCCGTGTCGGCTGAATCTGAGCCCCGAGCTGACAGGGGTGTTAGCATTCACAGCCAGCAGCTGTTTTACACATACTGACAATGGGGGCCACAGGCACAGGGCCCACTGAGGGAGGTGGCTACATTCACACAACTAATTGATTTCTGCGCTGCACGGTGGGAGAACAACCCCCCCCACCATGAGCACTCACTCACTCCCTCTCTCGCTCTCTGCTGCCGCAGACTGGGCTCAGAGATGATGACTGCTAATGGAACATTCATAAAGCCCCAATCAGTCCCACAGAACCGGAGAGACGCTCAGCATTCCAGGACCCGACCAGCATTCCAGAACCTCCCAATAAAACTGCAGGAATATGGTTAGAAATTACAATACGATGCTCTCAAAAAAACTTCAGAAACACATTAAATGTTAGTTTAATGTAACAAGACTGCAATTTTAATGACCAATTTAAATGCAATTATTTTCTCCAGTGCTTTAGCTCAAGTCCATTTAGTCACCAGAAAGACCAGCGCGTCCATTTTTTTGGCCACCGGCTCACAAGCTCTGTATTATTACATTACATGTCCCCAGTTAAAAACTGTAATTATTTAAGACACTGTAGAATAATGTAGGATATAATTAAAATTGCAGCTCTTGTGCTTTGAAAAGTGCACTCTTCCTTAAATTGAGCCTAGTCAAAACAAGACAATTCTTCTTGTGGTGATGTGACTTCTAGAATTTGAGACAGGGAACTAAACGCTGCCCTTAGAGCAAAAAAGTCGGTTTAAATGGTTAAATGCAACATTTGATAATCATCAACAGAAACTGAGTCAAATCTGTGAGGCTTATTAAAGGCAGAAATGAGCAAGAACTGCAATCACCCAAAATTTAACCAATATGTTTGAAAATTTGTAGAATTTAAATCAAATACATGACATAAGGCTTTTTTTATTTTGTGATATGGTAAATTAGGAGGCTGCATGAAAAATGTAGACCATTTCATTTTAAAATATTATATATTATTATATGTTATTATATTTTATTTATTAAGCTAAAGCCTAACTAGTCACCAGAAGCACACATTGTCTGACACTAACAAGCCTTTCTGAGCAAAACACAGTGACTGAATTAAAAAACATGAAGTTAGAAAAGCTGTTCAAGAATTCTGTTTGAAGCTGGCCAGTGTTTACCGCTTTTGTTTTACGACAGTCGGTTATTTTAGATCCTTTCTGACAATCCTACAAGACAGCATAATTAGTCCTGTTTAATTTGAAACCTTCAATAAAAAAAAAAACGCTGGCCTACTAGTTTTTGATGGTATTTCTTTAAAAGTGGCACTGTTTATGCATTCTGCCTGTACTGCAAAAAATGGCTCACCAGATTAAAAAATTACTTCACGTAGTAACAAGCAATCGAACTAGTTTTAGTTTTATTCAACTCAAAAAATTACACTGATTCAAAGAATCATTCATTCAAAGTATTTATTTAGGTTGAACAAAACTAGTTCACTTGTTACCACATGAAGTAATTTATCTAGGTTGATTTGATGAGCCATTTTTTTTTACTGTGTATTCAACATCAGCTATTCAACCAAAAAAAAAAAAAACAGAAGAAGTAAATAGTGTAATGCACATAATTTATAACAGCATCATGAAATATTGTGAAATTATATTTTTGCCATATCGTCCACCCCATATACATGCAACCTACACATCATGCAAAAAAGAAGTCTGCAGTTAGCAGGTTTGAATGTCCATCAAATGGCTTTGGCCATCCTGTCGAAGTAGGCAGTTCTTGGCCACATTGCAAATCAGCCTATCAGACTCTGATGACAGTAATGTTAGATTTTTTGTATTTGTTCAAAGGCAAACAAAATCAATTTGCGAATTTCACGTTTTACTAGTCAGGTAGTTACATAACGAGTACTTGGTTAATCAACTGCTCATGTCCGTCCCTAATTTAAATCCTCCATCTTTTGGCTTCTGGCATGACGCTGTTTCTGTTATCAATATATATTATTCCGCACACTGTGCGTTTCGCAACACTGTACTGACCGTTCTGCAACCAAAAACTGTGTCCTGAGGCTGAGATATCTCAACATTTGAAATTCATGACAATATCTAATTCCACACGAAAACAACATATGCTCCCGTTGTATCACCCAGTCTTAGCAGATGTCCAAACCCAATACGCTGTCACTGATCCGAGCTGGAGCGCCCCACTTAACACGCGGAGTGTGATTAACCCTGTCAGTCAAACTTTCCGAAGGGGGAAATTAGACTCAAACATATCAGAGTTCTTTGCATTGGTCCAATATCTGAACACTTGTCACACAGCCAGAACCCATATTACAGCCACAGCTTTAAAGCAGAGTGGAAGTGAAGAGAAGAAAAAAATTAAACCCATTTGTGGCGCAGCGGGAGGGGGGGCAGCTGTTTGCAGGAACACTCAGAGGCGAAAGGCCGCATCTGAAATTCAATAAAGGACCGCAATAAACAAACAGCATGTGTGAGGTGAGCTCAAATTAACCTGCGTTAAGTCCTCACGGAGTGGTCAGGAACAAAGTGTCCACCACAGCGTCTGAGTCACACTCCACTGTTTCTCAAAGGCGGCAGATAAATGCAGAAAAACTAGAACTTAACAACCCTAACAAAACACTAACCATTTCAGCTATGCTGCACACCGGGCAGCAGGAGGAAGCAAACACAGCAACCTTTCTGTTACACTGGGGCTGAATGGTATTTTGTTCGTTAATTGTCATCATAATACTGGATTCTGCAATCAAAGAAGGCTGAAATTTGCAATGGAGTCTAACAAAATCACAATATTGTTTTGCTGGCGCTTTCCCAGTCCTTCATGAAATGTAACAAAGTGCGCTCAGATGCTGACGTACGTAAAAGTTTGAACATCGGCGGTCAAATTACAGGTTTTGTTGACGTTCTGAGTGAAAAATATGTTATCGCGGGAGATCACGAGTGTAGCTCCCAGTGACGCCAAAGTTATCCATGGCTGGGAGTCCAAGAAAGCATATTAGGCCTCAGCCTCTTTGGCGTGGAAGGAATGGCCCTCCCTCTGCCCCCCATCTCTCAGCCTGATGCTAGCCAACGCGGGCATCTGTTAGCTAAAGTAACAAGTTTGGCAGTTAGCCTTCTCCTCCATGCGCTTTGAGCTGACTAATGATGTTGCATTAGCGGCAGAGCTTCACGCGTCTCGGAGGAAGCATGTGCTAGCTTTCACCCTCCCAGTATGTTAGTGTCATGTGATTGGTGAGACCTTGATAGTTGACCAGGCAGTGACTAAACTGGAAGGGAAATTGGGTAAAAACACCAAACTTTAATATGTCATATTACTGCCGTGTATAATTTCAGTTTATTTACTCAGTTAAACATCTTGGAAAACAAAACATATTATGTTGCCTAAATAAAATTTTGGCCTAAAAAAGACATTAAAGGCAGAGAGGTGTAATTCCGTATAACCTTAATGAAAAGTTTTCACAAATTTAGCATTTTACTATTGTCCGATTTTTTTTTTTATTTTTCCTTTTAATGCTCCTTATACTTCCAATTAGCATATCTCAAGTTCCCGATGGCTGAATTCAGCAGATAACAAGGACATAAGGTTCAAACTCACGCTGTAGAACTTGCGGATGTGCCGCCGGATGTCCAGCAGCAGCTTGTTGCTGATTTGAACAGGATGTTCCAAGGGGCTTCCACCACAAGGGATGTGACAGCAGCGCTTCAAACTGGGCTCCGTAACGCTCCCCTGGATGAAACACAGCAACACCTTTAGAACAAATCCAGCTGTGCATTGTGTCATTTTATATTTTAAGGCATGCTGGGGCATTTAAAAACTTTTAAAGGATCCACATCCTACATCTTTATGTTTGTGTGGTTTTATGCATCAAAATCAATCATAATTCATTTTTACATGACGCTTCTACAACCTCATTTATCACTTAGAATTAAACATGCTATTTTTTACTGCACTTTTAAAACTGATATACTATGTGTAAACAACCTCTATTACAGATGCATGAAATTTCCAGTCACCGAAAACACCACTTCTGGTTTTCGACCAAAAGAATAAAAAAGAAAATCTTGGCTGGGGGAAAACAACACACACAAAAAGATTGAACAGATTTACAAGAAAGTGTTAATATTAAACAATTGAATAATTTTAGTGCGAACTGAATTTCAGTTTCTACAAGAGACATTTATAAATCCCTGTTTTGTGAAGTATCAACACCCAACACCCAAGAACTTCTCCACCACAGATCTAATACCTCTTGAAAACATGACATCCCACTTAATATGCAGAATATAGTAAAACTGCCTGCCTCAGCTTTTAAAATGACAAATCCACAAATGAAAGTGCAAAGTGTAACTGAAAAATACTGTAATTTGTAACCTTGAATTACCAACTGTTCTCTGTCAGTGAGAATAATGGATTTCACAAGTAAATACTGTAAATACTGTGATAATTTTATTAAGTTGGACGTTTTTCTTTATTGTCAGCTCAGTTTTGTCATATTGAAAGAACTGGGTTTGTTAATAATAAAAATAATATCTACAAAAATAAAACAAGAAAAAACAAAACATAAGTTTTCAGTTGGGTGTTCTAAATTTCAATTTCAGCCAAAAGTCATCATCACTGCATCACTAATTCCAACCGAACCTGCTGCTTGGTACTGCTATTTAAAAAGCTGATGTAAGATGAATAAGAAAACAGACGTAAATGCATAAAGTTTTCTTTACATTGCAAAAAAGACCTACAACAGAATGTAAGTGAAACTGGGTTCTGACTTGGGCCCTTAATAGCTTGACTGTGTTAGTATATCAGGACAATAAATGAACAAATCAAAAACGGACCCGAGTTTTGCTGGACATCCCAACAAATTGCACTGAAATGGGCTTGACACAGTCCCAAAAATCTCCAGGGTACGCAGTAAAACGGAAAAAAAAAGAAAAGAAAAAGAAAAGCGCAAAGGTGTTGCACCATTAACCTTTCAGCCACGGTCCTGGGTGACAGCAGAAGAAAAGCCCTGCGTGTTGCTCGTCTGATCTAGAGGCTTTGGCAGTGAGTTCGGGCCGCGAAAGCTTGCAGCGCTCCCGTTGAGGGACGAGGGAACCGCCGGTGATTAAACAGTGGGAGAAAAATACTGCACCTTCATATCCCTTCACTTCACAAGCCCTACAGGTCCCTACTGGAGCTGTCTGGAGCAGCCATTACATCTCAAAGAGGGCAAACCACGGTTGGGGCGGGGGTGTTAATGCGTCAGCACACTAACTTTTGCTCTCCCACAAACACACAGTGCTCTGCTTTATGACAGGGCAGAAGTGTCTAGTCGCCCGCAGTTCAGACCACCGGTAGTTGCTGTAAGCCATTAGCCTATTTATGATGTTTACTTCTATCATTGAATAGCACTTTGAGGGGAACAGTGCTTCTATGCAAATACTCTTTTCTCTTTCTGTGGCCGGCTCCAGCCAGCGAGTGTGTTTGCATTCCTGCTCTCCTCCCTCCTCTCTGCGCGGCTGCCTCTGATAAGGGAGCTCTCTGCAGCCCTGGACTGCCCGTCTGCGAGTCAAGGCTTTCCCCTTCGCTCTTCCTTTCATCCCCCCACGCTGATGCTCGGCAATACTGCGTTCCTAATTATTACACAGTCTTATCAGTGAGGCTTGGTTAGCAGTGTGTGGGGCTGTGTGTGTGTGTGTGTGTGTGTGCGCGATCAGGGTCTGAGTGCATTCGTGAGCCACAGAGACATGAGGCTACATAGCTGCTTGAACCCAAGGCTGGCTCTACACAGTGAAACTTGTTGCATGCTGTGAGTCGCCTGCAACTTGTTTAAATGTAATGTTTAAATATTTGCAGCATTTTTAATATCTTTGTATGCTTTTTACAGAAAATTGACATTTAAGCAGCCATTTAAGCAGCCAGTTCTTCGTGGACTGCATACCTCTGTAGATGTAACAAATCTTGTTTCTGTAACAAGTTTCATCCCAAACGAATGAGCGCTGTGTAAAATTAGTGGGCATCAAAACAGGAGAAAATCAATCGAGCTACATACACCATGTTAATAGCAGGCCAAGAACTGTACAAGCAGCTTTTTAGTCAGCTGTTATCCATCTTCCGTTGTATTTTCTTGTTCATTGATCCGCTGAAATCAACCGTTTGAAAGTATGATAACGCATAATCACGACGCGTTATCAGTGGTTTGCTTGACTGTTTCACAAAGTTGAGCCACCTGCAACGGCTGCGGCTGAGTTTCAGGACGCTTTGACATTGTGCATTTAGGTTCATGTAGGTTTCATGCAAACAAAGCCGCATGAAAGTTTCACCATGCAAAGCCTAAAACATACTTTCAACACATAATGCCATTCCCTTCAAACCTGATTGAAACTCATTCGTCACACCTGCAACCAGGCTTGAGTTTATTCATGATAGCATCGTGAATCGCCAATGGATCAGCCAATTTCAGCCCAGCATAACAGCCTACTATGTTACAGTAACAGTCGGCTAACTCAGCAGAGTAAGCTTTGCTCATTTTATTTCTTACAGCAAGAAGTACCAAACTATAACATGAACCACCAACAAACTATTTCAGTACCTCAAGCAATGTGGTAACACCACAGTGATGCACCAAAATGAAAATGAATGAAACCGAAAATGAAGACACACCTGGCAGAGTTACGCAGACACCATCTGTAGCCTCACTGTTAAAATGATGCCAAAATATCAAACACAGCCAAAGTGCAAAGAATAATAATACAAAAAAAATAATTCAATGATGTACGACTGTTCTTTGCAGTCGACAATGTTGGACTTCGAGCCACATTCTGCGAAGACTTTACAAATGATTTTAATAATAAAGAAAAAGAAAAACCTTATTTGGTCCCTTTACTCTCCTGCAACGGTCGGCACAGAGGCATTCTGTTCAAGCTTCAGAAGACAGAGCTGGGAAAAATAATGTACATCATTTTGGTGCTTCACTGTGGTTCTATCACACTGCTGGATGTGCTAAAATAGTTTACTGTAGAAAAGTGTCAAGAATATGCGAGAGGCTCCTCAAGTAGAGTAGCAAGCTCGGACCAGTTTTGTGGCTGTGTGTTGTTTGTGGTGATGTTTTTTTTAATCCAAATTTAAATAATTTCTTTTGGAAAGCGGCTTCCCTACCACCATAGCCAACCCCCATCAATAATTTTGCTTATTTGCTGGTGACCAGTTTTCTTAAGTAGCTAAGGCTGGACGTACACTACACTATTTTTTGTCCGATTTTCACAATTTGAAGCGATTTTCCTGGTCGGAAGCTCGATCGGAAGTGGTTGGATCCAGGCATCTACATCCAGTACTCTGTTTACAATTTCAGCTCAGCTGCCAGTTTATAGTGAAATATTTTTCCAGCTCTCACTGTAATATCACTGCTTCTCAGCCCCATATTAATCCTCAGTTTGCGCTTTCACTACACATAAAAGCACAAACAAGTCTGGTTGAGTACGTTTAGCTTTATTCGTGTCATGTGATTCCTGAGGACATCTGGGAGTTTGAGTTCTTATTCGTAGCCCAAACTGGTTATGTGTGCTATATTCTCTCTTTGTCCTGTCGTCCAGTGTGAACATGTGACAAAAAGACAAGAAATTCTGTGACAAACTGATGTTAAGTTTGTGATGCTCTCCATTTCAGAAATCTGTAAAGATTTTAAGTCTTGTAGTGTAAAACCAGTCTGAATAGTGACCTTATCTTCGCATACCAGCTAACTAAACGGCTGCTTGTTTGTGATTTGTGAGTGTTTGCTCTACTTAGTTAGTTCTGTTAGTTATTTTCTCCTGACATAATAATTATACAAATAATGTAGAAGGTGATTAAATAGCTTGAGTCATACAATATATGAAAGATTCTACCTACCTCGCTAACTAAAGAACAACTTGATGTGTTGCATGCAGGTGTTTGTAAACTGTTGCATGCAAACCATGCTTCACACTTGTAACCTGCAAATAGTTTCAGGAAAGTTTCACCATGTAAAGCCACTCCAAGGTGCTTTAATACAGGGCTTGGACAATATGCACTGAGAAAGCTGTGTGGTGCATATGGAGGTTGACCATTTATGATTTAAGAATTTACAACACGTCTGCGTGTCGGCGTGTGTCGGGGTGAGGACAGTCTCTGTGTGTGTGCGTTTGTGTGTGAATGCCTAGCAGTCCTTGCAGAGAGTCTGGGCCTTCCCCCGGTGGAGTGAGAGTTCTCAGACAGCTAGGAGGACAGAGCTCTGGGCAAGTGGGGAGTACATGTCACTTTTTATGAGTTCCAGAAAGACGAGAGAAGGCTGCGTGCAGCTCTGTGCGAGTGAGCGCCTGAGGAACTCTTAATTAGGAGCAGATAACACTCCCCTCCCTTGCCCCTCTGACCTCGACATGGAATAAAACTCCTGTCCCATGAGCTACAGGACATGACTAAGCAGCTATGCCAACCAAAACTCACCCCAACCCCATCCACTACTGCCAAGTAGCTAAAAATAAGGGAGCAGCCTTACACATTAATAGGCTGGCCACTGCCTCCACGAGGTAATAATCACCTGCACTCCTAAAATTTATTGTTACTTGTCATTACACGATATTTAACTTGTAGATGAGATGAGATGAAGCGGAATAGTGAGAAACACAGCTGCAATGCCACAGCTAACATGTTTGCACGACTGATGAAGCTAGGTATGTGTGTGTGTGTCTGTGTATGCGTGTTATTCATATAACAACGATATATTGTACAGCGGATAAAATCAGTACAGCAGAAATAACACCAATGAAGCACTGATGTTGGCTCCCATTAAACATTGAGATAAAAGTTATAAGGTTATTTATAAGTGGCTTGTTTTGTATTTGCATTATTCAAGACCGAGTTTCTGCTGTTTGAGTTGAAGTTTGACAACAGGGAACTGAATCACATGTGAGCACTGAATTCGATTTGATAATATTCCGATCTGTCAAGTTACCTGAATAATATTTACCTCCTAAAAATCTGTATCAGTAACTACGGTCAGCTCGATATGAAATTCAGTCACTCACCGCTCCCTCGAAGACACTGTCATAGATGTTTTCTGTGCCGCAGTCAGGGCAGGAGAAGGAGAACCTCTCACAGTCCCGGTAGCGTTCTTCATCTGTGAGCTGTGGCGGGACGCCAAGGAGACCATCAGCTTCCTCCTCTCGCTGCTGCCGCTGCTGAGCCCGGAACTGCCCTGGATCCAGCCCTAAATATATAAATAACATATACACAACCAAATTGCTTAAATACTCACAAAACTGAAATTGCGCACACTGTAGCAATTACAGACTGTATAAATATTCAGACACTATTTTATATATAGAGCGACTTTTTGTTGTTCGCACCTTGAAACAAAAACAAAAAACAAACAGGCAGAAGTCCAGAAAGTGATTCTTGCTCTTCGCAACATCGGCAGTTGGTGATACTGGGTGAGCCACTTCCCATTTTGGAAACGCAAAAGAAGCCCAGATATTTTCAACACCTCACTCAAGAGCTGAGACTTTATGAGTGCTCTCCCAGACAGCTTGGATGCCTTTAAATCAGTTTGAGCTTCTTTTGCAGATGGTAGCACCATGTAAGACGAACCAGAACCGACATTTTTTTTTAGTTCTAGTTGCTGGAACACAGCCGATCTGTCATCTTGGTTGATGCCATGACAACAGCAAAGACAACGGTCACTGGCCGTGTGCGTTCATGTGACTTGCGATGGCCAGAAATTGCGTTCAGGGCACAAGAAATCATTGGTTATACATGTGTTTGAATTAATTTATTAATGCCTGCGCGCACTGTACGGATATATCGTGCTCGGTGTGTAAAGGCGTTGACCCTCAGAAAGCACACTGGAAGGTGCATCCACTCCAGCAGAATGGACCTTTAAAATGAACAGAGAACTCATTGCAAAAAGCCTGCCACATCACACAAATGAGCAACAGGAACCTGAGAGATGAACATATGACATATGTATGTATATATTATGTATATACATCTACATGTATTGACTTTGCCAGTCTTTAAAAGCTTCTTATTTTTTGGCTATGTCACTGTGCAGCAGCAGGAGAGGCATTATATAAAACAATTATATCATGTTTTACATCCCCCTCCCTCTACGCCCATCTATCACTGAGCAACAACACCCTGCTAGCTCAGACACCTTTCCGATAAAGTATGCCAGCCAGAAATCTGTCAAGGTATGGAGGAAAATGGGTTTCCAATTCACACTGAACAGGGACAGAAATAAGGACTGGAAACAAAACACAAAGGGGATGGGTGCAGATTTAAAAAAATAAATAAAAAAATAAATAAATTAAAAAATAACAACACAAAGCTATCCAAATTGTACCAGGCAGCTGAGATCATCAAATCATTAAGAGGTGGCAGCTGAATATCCATTTAATCTTCCCAGGTGACACTGAACACTATTAGAGCATGGAAAAACAGCCGACATCCCCCTGAGTAATTTGGCTAAGTGAATAAGTGAGTAAATAAATAAGTGTTGACTGCGAGGCTACAGGGATTAACCAGCGGCCCCAGAGCTCCCAGCCCCACAGGCCTACAGGCCCGGGAGCTGCTGCCATCTTCAGGAAGACATGCACAGACCCTCATTCCAGGGTCAAACCACATCAAAGAGTAGCCGAATACAGTGGAAGGGACGCTGTCTGGCACACAGGCAAGAGACTGCTGTGTTGATTTAGTGCTTTATCAGTACATGCAATGACCTGATCTTTAACTTAACCAGAATAAATTACTGTTTTAATGAGGGGCAGCATGACGATAACATTATCCTCATCAATCATGCCATGTTATGTACAAATATGCTTTTCTGGACATAGAGAGCACTGAAAACAGCATGTTTTACTACAAACAGCATAATTAAGCCTGTTTAATTGGATTTACTGCACTGAAGTACAAGAGACATTACATACAACTGATGTATTCAAAGTTTTTCAAAGTATTTTCTTTGAAAGTTAATCTTGCTCTTGAGGGCACAGAATATACACGTACAAGTTATGTTCTGTGAATAACTTGTTAAATGTCCAAAAATTCGGCCAATGTATTTTGCTAATACTCACTCGACGTAAACTGGGGTAGTTCTAATCTTGTATAATAAAAGTTAGAAAATGTTTTTAGTGAACAGACACAGTAGGGTCTTCAATGCCACCTAAATATGGGAAGCTTGCTTCACTCATTTCTCCATGCTTGTGCTGTTGTGTTTAACTATAGTATGTCTCTACTCTTTACTATCCACTGCCATTTTGTTAATACATCTATACATATTGTCACTTTGTTTATACACCCACGCATATTGCACAACTATTAAATATGTTTAATATCGTTTACAGTGTATAGTAACTCGGTTCATCCATCCACCGGATACGACATGCACCACTGCACTGTCACCTGCATAATATTTATGCGATTTTACTTATTTTCGTACTGCATATTATATGGTCATTATTAATTATTTATTACATTATTTCTACTATTTATGCATCTGCATAATAGCATACGACAATACTTTTACTCTTGTTTTGCTCTTTACTGTGCTTTGTGCTGCTGTAACAGACGACTTTCCCTCTGGGATTAATACAGCGATCTATCTATCTACCTGTCTAGTCCTGCTTCAGTGTTGCAGCAGGCTGGGAGCTGTGGACTGGCTGCCAATCAGTCAAGCTCATTAGAAAATTAGGACCACACTCAGACAGTTCTCAGATAGTCTGATAGGTGACTTTTAAGCAGTATTTTATATTTCTAGATTGTTTTTTATTTTTTTTGTTCTGAGACTTTAAACGTGGCACCACCAGCTCTATTGTGTCTCCTCTAACTTTTCAAATCTCTGAAACACTAAATATCATAATACATATCGAGCACTGCGAAAATGTCATATTTGCTATAGCTTAGCCTACTAAGAACAGACTACAGAAAATACAGCACTCTTCATCCCTGCCAAGCTACTGTTTGTTGCCTATTAACTATTAACTGTTCTGAAGCCAATTAGTAGGTCAGGTCAATTGGCTGGCACTGACATCTATTATATAGATAGATTATATATTATCATTTTTTAAATATTCTATACTATTGACATGAAACATACGGTCATGCTGACAGATTGACACTACAGAAAGCACTGACTTATACTGTTTTGATGCACCGCAAAAGAAGAAATCTCTTGGAACTTTATGGAGGTTCCGAGAGGAAACCAAAGAAGGTGGGTCATCCAGTAAATTAATTGAGCAATTGTAAATAGATAAATCAATTACAGAAATAATCATTAGCTATAGCCCTATTAAACAGTCCAAAGAGGAAGCTCACCTAACCACGTGGCAATCAGCACACCATCAATGCCTTCGATGGGCTCACAGATGCGGCCCACCACAGGATGCACCTGCTGGGAGAGGTAGTACTGGGTGTCCAGGGTCAGTCCGGGCTGCTTCTGGAGCTGTTCTGGAGCATAGGCCCTCTGGCTGGCCCCAAGGTTCGAACCGTCCTACCAAACCAAAGGAAGGGAGGAGTTACGAAGGTGTGAAAATGTTAAGCACGGGTGTTAATAGAGGTCAGATACTGTATAGATATGTTTAAAAAGACTGGGAGAAATCCTTGAGAAGCACCTGACAGATGACGTAGGATATGGTATCGCCTGCTTTAACCTTCCTTCCTCCTTGAGAGTTGATCCACAGGGCCACATGCACATGAGGGAGACTCTTCTTATCTGGGTAGTCCTGTGGATCCTTCGTCAGGGCCTGAAGGTGCACATATTCGAGGGTAAACACATTGTTTTCTGCTATAAGTGAGCAGAACTCCTCAAGATGTTTCTTCATTCTGTATTTTTCGTCAACTTTATTCTGTTTATTCTATTTAAATCATTTAATTCTGCTTAATTTTTACACCACTCAAAAGTGTCAAGTGAACCTGACATTGTGTAAACATTTAATGATAAATGGACCAGTAGAACAGTCCAAATAATAGATAGATAGAATAAATAAATAAATAAATGGTCCAATGGAATAAACTTTAGTTAAATTAATGTACATTAAAAGTTATGAATATTTTTCTTCTCTTATAAAGTTAACACTGGCGACACAAGGTTTTATGACAACGACTGCGACAATCTGCATTCTCTGTACGCAGATTTAATAAATAATTTAAAAATAAATCTAATTGCAGCACAACTAGAATTGTGAAGAACACTCTTAAAAGTGACTAGCATCTCACCTTGTGGATCTCAAACATGTTTATTGGGATGCTGCCACTGGCCACCTTCTCCCCCACCTCTATAAGGTGCTGCTGGATGTTCTCCAGTATGGTGTCCCGATTCTGGTCTGACAGAATCTGACCAATCACGTAGCTGAAGAGGAAATGAGTAAGAGTTAAGCAATCTGAGGCAGGATTATGGCCGATGAGATGAATTAACTCTGAAAGACGACAACAAAGCTGTCAGCAGTGAGTGCCACAAATGGCACAGGCTACCAAGAGCCGGTCATTATTCCACAAGGAGGGGCACAACACGAGGTAATAAACACTGATTTAACTGGTGAAGGTTAAGACACAAGTGCTGCAAAAACATAAGGTAATACAAAAAAACATAAATGAATTCTTGCTAGACACCGACTTGCCACACTCCTTGGCGAGGTCACACCAGTCCCTGCGCACGATGTCCAGGCCTTTGAACTCCTGCTTGGTGGTGTAGCGGCCATCTCCCAGCTGCTCCACCGTCAGCGCAGCATACTTTTTCTTCTTCAGCAACAGCAGAGACTTAAAGACGCCATCAATGTCTATCTCCAGAAGCTTATACAGCTTATTCACCTCACTTTTCACCTAAACAGAGACATATACACAGATGACATAAGCACAGGACTACCCTCATTGGTTTTAAAGCCTTCTAGCCCATACGATCATATCATAAATAAATAAACAAATAGATAGATAGATAGATAGATAGATGATATGTAGCAGAGAATACATTAGTGATAATTGAAAAAATGTAATGTTTTTTTCCTCCCCTCACGCTCATACACTGAAGACTGTATGCTTGTTTTGTATTAATGCTTACCTAAAAGTTCACAGTACAAGTACGAAAAATATAAGAATAATGAGTACATTATTAATGCTGGAGATCCCTGATGAGAATTATATTACAGGTCTAATTCACTCTGAGTGCTGGTCAGAGCCAAGGAGTCAGAGGCATAGAACAGATACACACATACAGCCCAACAACAACTTAATGAGTATTTAACAGCACTAAAACATGAAGCGGCTCTGCACATATGTACCCAAAATGCGAATAACTAAGTGCTTATAATAGTAGCTACAAAGTAATAATTTACTACAAACACAAACTGAACCATATCTGTGAAAGTGAAGTGTGCAGCTAAAAAAGGATCATACATGCCTTAAAATAAGAAAGGACACTCACATCACGCACATAGACAACAGCACACAAACGAAATTAATGAATTTCACTCAGAGCTCCGTATTTCCTCAATGTGCAGACAGGACCAGACAGAAACAAGACTCGAGGAGACCAGAGGCCTTTTTCCTCAAGACAATGTTTAATACAAGTAATAACAACAACAACGAGCTACACTGTACCTCTACGAACACAGCATCTACGTGCTGGACGCTGTAAAATGTCAAGCTCTCAGCCTTGAATGCAGTCTCTATTTCATTCATGCAAACACGCATCGAGTAAAAGGAAATTCATAAGTATCGATACTGTCACCACTGCGTCGACACGTGTATGGCCACAAGCTTATCCACGATATACTGGCGTATCAATATTCAACAAAGGCCTAGCAGGGACTGAGCAAAAATGTGGACTCTCCGGAGGCCCAGAGGACCGGTTTGGGAACCAATGACATGGAATATGAGGCAGCTAGCATTAGCAGCTAGCATCTTTAGAGTATTAACCTGCCTTATGGCATATACAGATTACAATGTGAACTTAAAAAGCAATAAAATCAGTTTTGGTCTCAACTAGGCTAGTGAGACTATGTGTAATACCCCAGTGTCAGATTGCGCTCCCTAGCCATTACTGGTTGATGACAGCAGCATCAATGGGGCACGGTGACCGGTAGACGAGAGCCGCCAAGACGCTCTGTGCATGGGAGGCCTAGATTTGGTGAGTCCTTTCATGGTTTAAAAAAGAAAAAAAAATGGAAAAAAAAAGGAAAAAAAAAAGAAAAAAGGAAGAAAAGAAAAGTGCTGCTTTGCACTGCTATAGAATGTTTTTAATACAGACAACGTTAGGGCTGATATAGAATATGGACTACTGATTATGAGATAAATATAATTTCTTTTTTGTGCTTTTCAAAAAGCCACAGGTAGCATGTTTTTTTTTTATTTAAATCACGATGGCCATCACGAAAGATGTACATCAATCTATACTCGATTTACAATACTATTGTCAATTGGCTCAAGCCTGGGCTTTAGTGATAATTATCAGTAATTTTTATCTGTTCAGAAATAAAATTTGTGTATTCCCACTAAAAAAGATGCAACAGTTGCTCATCCAGCTCTAACAGCACATAAGGTGGATTGTCCTGAAGTGCTGTCCACCAAGCCGGGCACACTGATCACTCCTCCTGCCTGATCTTACCTTGTTGCCCAGTTTCATGACCTCCTCCAGATTAGAGCTGTTGGTGTTGATCATGATGGAGTCAGTGTCACCGTAGATAACATCCAGATTCATCTGCAGCAAGACAGGCGCAGTTAACAGACACAAACATTTCCTCAGATGAGCCAACATATTTGAGCACAGCAGCACAGAGTGATACGTCAGAGAATCTATTCTCACTCACCTTCTGTACCATGTCTTTGGTGTGCATTAGGATCTGAAAAGGAAAGAAAAACAACGAAGATCATTCGCCAAGACCCAACAATAGGAAACAGAATAATTGGTTCAATAAAACACATATATAATTCCATTTTCAAAGGGTCTCAGTAGCGGATCTAACAATTCAGCTTACTAAAGGAACCATTTCATGACCACGAACATACTGGACAAACTGTTAAACAGACAATGCAATGAAACCAGCGTCCATAGGCAAACACACACTCGCTCAAAAACAGGCATAGTGACACGCACAACACACAAAGAATTTAATTAGCAAATCTATTCAGTAATTCAACACTTAGCAATGGGGGAAAGAAAAAGCCTTGGTGATTTGCTTTTAAATGGAGGATAATTGGCTAAGAGGGCTATTAGCAGCACTGAAATGTGGCTCCAAACCCACACACCAGCCGAGTCATAATAACGCCTAATGGCCTTAATCACCGGTGGCCTGCATAACAGAGAGAGTGAGCGTGCGACAGAGAGAGAGGGAGAAAGAGAGGGAGAGGGAGAAAGAGAGGGAGAGAGAAAGAAGGGAGGGGAGGGGTGTCCAGCTGTAGACTGAGATCTACGTAGTTTGCAGCTGTCAGAGAAAGAAAATGGGAGAGAGAGAGAGAGAGAGATAGAAAGACGGCAAGAAGGTGGTCAAATGTGAACCGCTGGAAAGGGAACAGAGATGCACTGGAAGACTAAAGAGCCACGATTCAGTAGGGCTGACCATCTATTATATTACCATAGATTAGTATTGGAATTATTGTGACGATTAACGATCAAGATTCAAAGAATACAAAGGGACTTCATGTGGAATTATCTATTTCATTGAGTTTAATTATGCAAATACAAGTCATATCCAAATATTGTTTTTCCAGGGTTTTTGGTTAATTTGTAAATCTGTGGCTTAACATAAGGTCAAACAGTCATTATGTATAAGATTTGACAGACCTCTCCTTTTGAGACCTCACATCTATTATAGCCCAGCCTATTAAAAAAAAACTGCCCTGTGTTTGTGTTCTTCTGGCTCCACAATGGTGTGTAGTGCTCGGACACCGATGAACACTTTGTATGTTATTTGTAGACAGTTGTTAGCTCTCATTGCGGTTACAGTCCACAGAAACACGTTTCACATCCATTTAAGGTGGAAATTAAATGGAAGCTCACTGTCTTGGTTGCTAACAATGATCACGTGCAAATTAACCTTTTCTCACAGTGTTCAGCTCATGAAACATGGCTCTTTTCACGTTTTGGTAATGTTATCTTAGTCCTGATTGGCAAATAAAAATTATAAACTGTACCTATGCATTGGCTAAATAATGTAAACTATTGGGCCCAATCCCATTTCACCCCTCATCCCTACCACTTAGCCCACAGCCCTCCGTTTTGCGCGTTCATGCCTAGAGGTAGGGTGTCCCGATTTTGTTGAGATAGAGAGGTAGGGTGAAGTGTTAGGGCTACATGGCCCTCCAAACGGACGTTTTTCAGAGGCACACTCCAAACAAGTGCTATGAGACAAAAACTAAAACCAGCAGGATGGCTGCGCGAGCGACCAAAGCCACAAATTTGAGTATCTTCACCGTTAAAATTCCGATAACCATTGTATCATTTTAATGTATTATGGTCCTTTTCTTCATAACAAGTAGAAAAATCGCTAATGGTACGCTGATACCTTGGTAGCTATCTAGCTAAATTTTGTGTTCCACCTTAAATAGTCCAGCAGTACCGACACCTGAAGCGCCAGAATGTAACTGCTGCTCCATTCAAGGTGGAATGGGAAAATCTGAACAAGAAGCTGCTGAATAACTGACTTCAGCTTCACATCACTGAAGAATTAGGGGTGGGTGATAATTAATTGTCATCCGCCCTCTTTGAAAGCATATGATTCCCTAAATTTACCTATAGACCAGCAGCTTCAGACTGCAAACTGGCAGGGTCGCCTACAGAGCAGCGTTAGTAGCCTGTTAATGAAGTAATGTCCTTTTTATTTGAGGGTCCCATTTCTTAGGGAAGATTTCAACCACTACCTCTTGTAACTCAGTTCAAAGGGTCAAGGTCACACTCGAAAACAAAGGGTGGGGTAAAAATAAGAAATGGGATTAGGCCTTGCTGTGCTGTGTCTGGACGAGAGGAGAGTTTCTTACTTCGAATTCTCTGCTAGGAGCATTTAAAACAGCAAATAAAGGCGTCGAATTTGCGCGTATGATGTATTATCATGTAAACTGCTAACCAACCACAGCTTATTGATTAAAAATGGTACATTTTAAATCGAGTACTCATAACAGCTCTGTGATTGAGTATGATTGTTTACTCAGGGCGTACACTCTGCGTGCGCACACACACACACACAGTAGGCCTGAGGGGTGACCTCTGAGAGAGAGACTCGGACAGGTGGGGGACTGGGCAGCAGGATCAGGGCACTAATCTGAGGCCGGACAGAGCTGGGGAACATTACTGCAGCCTGTCAACAGCAATCGAGCAAGCCGCCGCCACCCATGCTCAACCCACACACACCCATCACATCCAAGCTCAGACCCCCTCACATCCCCCCATCAGGGACAAGGACGGTGCTATTTCAGAGCTCGGGGGTCTCCACTCCTTGAAACTGGAGCGGGCCTTAAGCATGCTTTATGAGGTGCCAAATACCTCCCAGGGGGAAGGAAAGGGTCAGATTTGAGTAATTACAGAACAGCCCTGCGTATTAGCGAATACAGCCAAGGTCACCCCCAAAACACAGCTCCGAGTGAACATGCACGCACACACAATAGCTCATTAGTTTGCAACGGAGCCGAACAATTTATGGCTTGCTGCTCAGCATTGCATCCCTCATTTCAATGCCTTAATGTCATCAGAATGATCTGGCTCTACAGCAGGCTCCCGCAGTCAGACAACTGGATAAGATCGGAAAGCATTACAGCAAACTTCCTCAGCCATCTGTGTGTTATACAGGGAAAATAGCGTGTTAGGGAGGGGGTAATAAAGCAGTGCTGGCCGTTAATTACTGCGGCAACCTGAAGGCAAAGTTTGGCACGTTAGTGCCCGACCTTGCACTGGTGCAAACTCATTTAACAGGCCGTCATAAAGCCAGGTCACTTAGCGCCGCAATGGAACGATGCATTATACAGTTCATTTAGGCCCATTCGCTGAGGAGATTCTAGGCATTAACAGAAGGAGGAAAACGTGTGAGCGAGTGAGTGAGTGTGTGAGTGAGTGTGTGTACTTGGAGGGGGGTGTAGCTTCCATGGTGATGAGTTTAGGAATGCGTACAAGGTTTTCCATGCCCCATCTATGTCAGTATGTTATGACAGCAGGGACAGCCTTAGACAGAAGAGGGACAACACCGGTGAAAGACAAGTCGTTTGACCATGGTTCAAGAATGGGGGGGGGGAAGCGGGGGGATAGCTCATCTTTAAACACATACCGTCCAACACATCTAAGGCAAACCAAACACAGCACCATGGGGGGTGTGCTCCTCAGAGTCTGCACCAACTGGGCCTCATATGCCCCAGCACTACACATCATCATGACTGAGTTCTAGACTGGCTACTTCACTGTTTGAGGATTTGCTAGCAATTCGGTGATATTAAATAAAATACGTTAGGACTAATAACGACAAAAAAAGGCTGTGGTTCAATGGGTTTATAGAGCAACTGATGTGCAAGTTTGATCATAAAGTGGTCCTCCACTACCAGCCAGTACAAGTCACTACAAGCAGAACAGACATCTGCATATATATATGTATATATACATACACACACACACACACACACACACACACGCACACACACACACACATCCCATTATGTTCATAAGATCCTCCATGGAATGCGAAATGATAAGCGATAGAAATGCAAAAATGTTCTGATGCATTGTTTTTAGTACACAGAAAATAGAGGACTACAAACTGTAAATGACGATGCGCGTCTCAGATAACAGTGTCATCTGACATTTGATCCAATTTTAACCCTCGAGGACACCATTTCTCATTCTTCTCAGCTAAACCCAAAGTGAACCTGCTCCAAAGCAACATGTGTGGATAGTAAATTATGATTTATGTGGTCAGAAACTGGCCTGTTTGCATTTATTGTAATATTAAATTTTAATCTACAATATCAAAAACTGTAAAAACTGCCACAGATGTGAAAAACAGACTCTGTTGGAGTTGTAAGCAACAACAGTACAGCTACTTTATCCTATTCAGTTTTTTGCTCATTTCAAGAAACAACACAACGGGCTTGATAGGGCAAAGAGAAGAAAACTCTAGGAATAAAGTGTTTTTTGACTCTTAACAATAGTGGAACGCTTTTTGATTTTCTATACAGAACCATCTTTAAAAGCGTTCTTTAAAGAACCACATACAATTGGTTTCCCATCATGAAGAATCAACTGACCATGCATACAACCATTTATGGATTCAAAAGGTTCACTGAGTGTTCATGGTTCTGTATATACTTGAGAACCCTTGTTTTTAAAAGTGTAGCACAATTAAATAGGCAAAATTAAATACATTTATCAGGTGCATTTTTATGCTAATTAAAATTGTACTCTCATGTCGGATAATAATCGTTAGCCAATATGAACGTGACTGTTTTACTTTTGAACACCAGCTAATTAAGTCAAGTCTTGTCATGTGTTTGACTTTTTTCCTAATCAGCAAGCTCGCTAGCTGCATAACCTACCCATCAACAAGGCATTTTCCTGAACTTAATAGCTTAAGCAAACACCATCAGAATAATGTAGTCAACCCTTAATACTGCATATTTGTCCAATACAGTATTAACATAAAAGAAAGTGAACTTCAAAATCAAACGTTTTATTCAACCTACATTTCCTTTTTTCATACAGAGCCAGAAAATGATGCCATAAATCAGTTAAAGTAAACAAACCTCATTCAGCAATCTTACAACTGTACAGCAGTAAATCAGCAGTAGCAGCTCCGTTTAAAAAGGCTGTAACCATGACTTGTTAAATGACAGGCATTCTATTTATATGGTGGTAGTGCAGTGGGCA